ATACACTGGTGCTGCCTGACAGGAGGAGAATTTCTGAGGAGGTAAGACAGATTGCTTTAAAAAAAAGAGTCCCTTCATAAATCACTGGGACACATGTCAGAGATTGTTGTAATATCAATGAGCATAAAAGGCTGTTAAGGGTGACCACATTATTTTCAGACGTTTCTTGTGAAAACTTTACCAGACACATATTAATGTAACTGCCTTTTTCCCCAAATCTCTTTGAAAAAAAGAAGAAAAAACAGGAAGATTTGGTCAGAAACTAAAAAATATGTATATATGAAGTATATTGAAAAAAGTCATGTTGTACTGCTGAAGAAAGTTGACACTAGAGTCAAGAAGATGGCATCCTCTGCATCATAACATCTTTATACTCCGTTACTGTCAATTTAGTCTGATGATAGAGGAAAAAGAATAGGACATCATAACATTATTTCCCCTTCACATTTTTCATTGCTCTCTCTCTGCACTTATTTTGCATTCTGCATTTGGAAACAACTATTAATAATGCACAATGGAATGGATCTTTTTCAGGGAATCTCTTATTGTGTAGGTTAGAAACTTACTTTAGGTTTTTAGTTATGCTTTAATATGAAGCACTGAAAGATTAATACTGTCATATTTATATAGACCCAGTTTTTCAGTTTAAGGCTTAAGTGAAAGGCTTGAGTTCACATTGTGGCTGCCCTGTGTATGTCTTAGGGCTGTTTTTGGTGAGCGAGTTACTTTAAAGTCTGCACTGATGTATCGGAGGTGAGTCAATGAGCTATGAATGGTTGACACAGAGAGTGGATCAGAGGCAGCTTGAGGTGGGTGTGCAGTGAATCACAATGTACTGTCAGTAATCGGGGGATATTATCCCTCAACAGAAATCTGATTTCAGTTTAAAAACTGTGCAGGAAGCCATGGATAGTTTTTCGCTTAAAAGGATGTTTTTGCCATGCAACTGAAAATGAGGAGTTGGCAGCGTGTACATGCAGTGCACTACAAAAAATCTTCACTGTGTGACTCCCTTTGACTCACTGAAAACTGGGTCATATTTTATCACATGTGTGAAGGTCTGCATGCTGTACTACTGGGCTGATTTTCCATTTAACATTGTGTGTTGCCCATAGCAACACACTGGGAGATCCGCCTCTCGTAGTCTACTGGTTTCCACAGACTGGTGTATGCTCCTTAGTCTTAGCAACAGCAGCGGAAGAGGATGAACGAGGGAGGGAGCAGTGGCGGAGGGGGAGGGGATTTGGTGCTGCTCATTAACAAACATGTTGATATATTCCGTGTAGATACATTTCCGTAGGTAGAAACATGTGGAATACTTTGATGAAACCACCATTGTCACCGAAGCATCAGATGGTGAAATACTGAAATGATTGAAAGGTGCAGACAGATAATGTTTTAATAAGATACTGTATCATCATTGTTTCTCAAACTTCATATTTCCTACCATGAAAAAAACACATTTTAAAAAGATATGATAAACTTTACCATAGATTTTCTAAACTCATTTGCAAGATAAAGCACAGGGCATGTGGGTTGGAGTGCACATGCAGGCCGACATTAGATGGATTCAGATAGGGAGTGAAACACATGGTCGAACACTCACTCTCAGCAGTTTTTCTGGCCACTTTCACTCTCTAATCGACAGCGATAACTGACACTGTGTGTGTGCGTGAATCTCTGCATCTGCGTGTGTGTGAGCTGAAAACTGTATGAGGCATCATGTGTGTTGCGGTGCAGCAGCAGCATTAAGCTGTGCCTGGACAGCAGATGTTCAGAAAAGATGTAATTAAAAACAAGTGCATGCCATGAAATAAACTAAGGCATTGTGATTTTAGCGTATCACTCCGTCTCTTTCCGGTTTACACTGTGAGCTGATCATATTTCCGTGGCTGAATTATTTGCCTTTTCATCATCCCACTGTATATGCTGATGCTATGGGTTTTTGCTCGTCTCACTGGGGAAAAAAGAAGCATATGGGCAAAGCAGTGGATGAACTACAGTCAGGTTCATTCATTCCAAATATATTTTAAGTCAATATTATTTCTTGGGCCAAGGTGTGGCTGATGCTACACTGGCTTTGCTTACTTGTCTGGCTCAGCAGATCTCTGCAGTTGTGTTGTGCTCTGTTTACACTAAATCACAGACTGTGTGATAATTCTGGTGTATACATCCACTTTGTGTAAAAAATGGAAAAATAACACCTTTGCAGGAGGTGTTACATTTCTGAAAATCACTTGCCAACGATGACTTAAACAGGAAACTGTTTATTTAAAGATACCTTTAAATATTAGGGGCACTTTGAAATGAGAGTAAAATCTTCAGAGAAATTACCTTATTTAATGTTGGGGCTCCTCTGCATTCACACTCAGAATAGCTTGACAACTTTCTCTTTCATAAATTCTTCATCTTGATTCCAAAGTTTTTTCTGGCTTTGCTACCCAAATACTTTTACCCATTCAACTAAGTTTCATATAAATCATTAATGATGTGTTATCTTCTTTAATTCAATTTATTCAAACATTACACCTTTCATTACTTTCCTTTGTACAATTTGGACATTGTGGAATTCTATTAATTTAAGTGCTCACTGTTCTACCTATAGGCTCAGTGTTGCTTCATGCAGTATTTTGCTTGTCCTCCTCCTGTATTTGCAGCTTCTCCCTGTATCCTCACTCCTTTCCCGCCATAGTGAATTTACTCATCCCCTCCCCCAACCCATTCTCCCTCCCTTTCCCTGTTCCTGTGTCTGCATTTCGTTTCTTCTTTCATATTTTGTCCTTCTCTTTGGTTTTCATACTGTCTGTGTGCTTTCACCCTCACTGTCATCATGCTGCTTTTTTTCCCGTTAGCTCTGTGCCTCATGCCTGTAGGGTTGCGGCTGTGGATACAAAATGTGCTGTTGTGTGTCAGTAGGGCACTTTCTCTCTTATTGGTTCAGCTTTGTCTGAGCATTGCACTACTCACATTGAGGTCAGCAGCAATGATGTTAATCTAATTTACACACACAGTGCTGTACAATGAAAACAGCTGTGTTCACTCATCACGAGCACGCTTACACCCAAAGTCACACATGCAACAACACATAGCACATACTCACACATGTCTAATCCTCTTTATTGAAGGACACTTTCAAAGTGGAAAGGCGGATGGATGGCATGAAAATGAAAGAACCAAAAACTGGAGCACAAGGAGACATTAATTTACTTACAGGGTGACTCACTGTGAAAAGATTAGTCATGTAACGTGTCAATATTCTTCTTATGAGAGCAATAATCATTTTAATTCTTAAAATGCTTTGATCGATCCATTTGTTGTTCTAGTCCAGGTTATCACTCCAATATATGCTTTTCCCTGCAGCTGTTACTCTGATGTGACTCAGTAAGGGAGGTGCAGTATTTTTAACTGGATGTAAAATGTTATAAACTATTGTTTTGGCATATACGTGTGGAAAAAATTAATCATTTTATGTAAGCTCTCCTCCGTCCCTATACGTGGAAGATGATCACAATGTATTTATTGTCCAGGGTGCCTGTGTTTCTGTGCCAGTTAGTGATTGTATCAGCGCTTAATTTTAAGGGCATTCAGGCGTTTGTGAATCAGGAAGTTCTTCCTGTCAATGTCAAGCACACGTGCTGCTGCAGTGCAGCATGTGGTGTATTTAGTCAGTAAGCTATTTGTACCGTTGCACTTGTAAGGTGGAGAATGTTTGGACGTATATCAAGCCCCACTGCCTTCAATAATTTAAAAGAATCTTGTATACAAAGCCAAAACCCAATAATTCTGCTTACAGGCATAATTTCAAGCAAATCCCCCGCTTATACACTATAAATTATGGTTTGCCTGTTTCTCATGACACTGTTTTCAAACAACAATACATTTACATTACTCCATTTAACTATTACCTCTTAGCTAACGAGACAAACTCTGAGACAGTGAGGCAACACTTAATTGCAGACTGCAGTCAAATCTGTCAGTCAAGATTGTCTGGCAATTTCGATGTCAGTCTTGCCATTTGCCCTTGAACATGACAAGACTGGTTGAGAGCCAAATGAGCCTTTGATGTGATTGGCCCAAGCTGCTCTCCACTCTCCAGTATTTGGGTCAAAACTGGTACTGCTGAGGAAGAGACATGCAAGTATTTCTTCCAAGACTGTTCATTATACAAGCACATTCATATATATATAATTCTTCTAAATCTGTTCTTTTCATTTCACCCATATCCTTGATTCCTGGTGTGTTAGTAGATTTCACCCTTCGTGCTCTCCACCGTTCAGTTATATAAGCCTTCAGTTTCATTATATCTCAGTCCATTGACTCATGGCTGTGAGGATGAGTTCCACACATTGGACCTTCCCACTCTTATTTAAGAATTGCTCATCTGCAGCTAACTAGAAATACTGTGGCCCTATATCTGGGTTACTTGCTGGATGAGCGTCAAAAAGAGTTAACAGCATTCCACTTATGAGCAGTATTTTCGCACACTGTCCTCAGAGGTCATTTTAAATCCTTGATGCATAGTAAGAGCTTAGGAATGAGCATTAATACAGAAATAGCAATAACAATGCAGATCAACATGGTTTCTTTTTTCCGCTGGATTTCTTGTGAAGTGCAAGTAGTGTTTGTTTTTGTTTTTGTTTTAAATAAACAGAGATCTGAACAGATGCAGGTCTGCAGAGCTGTTGTTTAGCATCAATGCACATAAAATCACAACATCTGCTGCTGTGCGCAGCTCATCACTGCATGCCCAGAGGATTGAACTGACTGATGGGTCAACATGTGGCTACAGTCCAGACAGGCGGAAATTAGGTGAAAAGAAACGGTGAATCCATGACTGGATTTTGGTGGTGCTAACCTATATCTATACCCTGAGATGCGGATCTACACATCTAGATGTAGGAGATCAGGTTGTGCTCTCAGATTTGAAGAAAGTGAATCAATTAGGTTAAATCTGCAGTTGGCTGCTTGGACATCAGATGCTGCCTTGATAAGAGGATTGCCCGCTTATACCAGTATCCTTCCACTGTTCATTATCGGGGTAAATGGGGTAAACATCCATGAATGCCATATACTTGTCTGATTGAGAGCAGATGTTGTGTTTATTTCTGAGCATACGTGGTTGGGATCAGATGGCTGTTAGTGGGATCCAGTCTTTAGCTGCAGGGTTCCTCTTTCCCCCTATGGCAATTTGCCTAGCCTGATGCTTTAACTGAGCATCCTGAGCTACTATTTTGCCCTGCTTTCAACAACCATAGTCCTCTCTGAGATGTTTGATGAATGAAAAATAGTATACGTATCAACATAATGAACATATTAAAATTAACATGCATGCCAACTCCAGCCTCCAAAGAGATAACATCATGTAACTATGCACGGTGAAAACCACAAGGAGCATAACTTCCTGAAAAGGTTACTGATTTTTGTGGCCCCCTTTTTTTCTTCTTTTTTTTTTTGCAAAGCCCTTTCTGTGGAGAGATTGCATGTTTTCTCTACTCAAATGGGTTCTCTGATGGTACTTTGGAATAATATAGACCCCAAAATCAAGATATGGAGGAAAGCATTGTGCTCTCCAACAGAAAAATAATAAAACAAAAGTAGGACATCCAGAGTGTGCTGGTTAGACACTTATACCTGTGCCTTTGAATGGTTCCCTGTA